GCCGCGGGCGTGCGGGCCCGGCGGCTCCTGCCCTGCGGCCGGGCCCGGAGCGCAGCGCTGCCCGCCCGCGGCTGCGAGTGCCCCGCGGGTCTCGGTGGAGGAGGTCGCCCAGGAGGGCCGGGAACCGCCGGGCCTGCGCGAGCCGGGCCCGCCCCGCCGGGCGGGCCCGGGGTGTCCCGTGCAGGCCTCGGGCCGTCCAGCACCGAGTCCATCGCCGCGCGGCATCTTCTGTTGTTCTCCGTGCGGCTCCGGTCGCCGCTTGGCCTTTTCTGCCTTTTTCTTGTCGCAGGCAGAGGAGACTTTCTATCCCAGTCCAGAGTTGGCTTTGATTAAACCTCAGCCCATGGCTTTCTCCACCCTTCTGAAAAATAAAAGTCTGTACAGTTTGGGAGCAAACTACTCCCATAATAATTTGATCCTATGTCAGTATTTAACCTGCAAAGTAAAAATGTGAGGCTGGTAATCTGAACGTTTTGGGATTTAGAATGAATAAGATCTGTTGGAAATTCTTGAAATTTAAAGAGCGTGTTTTTGATGTATTTAGAGATTTTTCTGTGGCACGAGAATGGTTCTTTGCAAGAATTGCATTTTGTGCGTGGCAGGAGGTTGTTCTTCCCATAAGAGGATGTAGATGGGGAAGATGTTCTGTAATGGAACACAAAAGTTTGCACCTATGATGAGTGTATTGGTTTTGTTTTGTCCTTTTTCCAAAATAGGCAGTAACGGCAGCAGGGATAAGCAACTGAGTAAATTTGGAAGTTTCAATTAACTTTCTGAATTGATAGGGGACACTGCTACCTCTTAATGGCAGGGTGTGTTTGGGGGATTAAACTCAAATAAAATGTGAAAACTGGTCTCTTAGACTTGTCTGGCATGTACAAGGTAGGGTTGATAGGCTTCCTCTGGTGCAGAATCATTTCCAGTGATGTGACACATAAATAGATGGGGATATAGAGAGTAAATATTGGCAGTTTGTTAACAGATTGCTTTTGAGGGGATGCTTACCTAATGGAATCTTAATTTTTGAAACAGGCTTTCAGTCTTCTCTGTCTATTTTCTGGTAAACTGTGATGAGGTTTTAGGTGCTTGTCTGCCCACGTCAGTATAACTGAAGCCTGGGGGAACCATACACATGAAGCCTGTTGTCTCTCACATACACTGAAACTTTAAATGTAGTCTGTCAGTGCTGAACTAAGTAAAATGCCTCAAGGTTTGAAAAGATATTTGTAGAACACAAGCAAATCTTTAATGTACTAGGGCAGAGTATAGTACATAATGAAAGCAGGATGCATGGCCTGAAAACTGAGGGGTTTGTCTTGAAAAGTTATTTGATTGGCCATGTTCTGTAGGACATACACTGTTTATGTGCCCTGTGAGAAACTGGCATTTCCCTTGGGGTACATGTAATTAATTGGCTGTTAGCCACAGGAAATGGAATTCATGTATTCGAAAGCATCCTGTAATGTGTCTTTTTGGCAGAAAAGGTAGCTGATTTACTAAACTAAATCAGCTACCATTTGCTTATAAACCATTTGGATGGTTTATAAGCAAAAAATAGTTTTCTCAAACTGTGATGGGAAGGTTGGTATTACTGGACCACCAGATACCAACAGCGCAACTGAAATCTTGCTGTATAGTCAGTAGTTTGTTTACATCTGTTGCAAGTGTGTGGGCTCACAGCATATTTAGAATGACTCCATGTATAATTTGGTTAAGGGAGAGGGGTTTTTTTGTTCCACTTGTACCTTTTTCAGTGGGTCCGTATCTCCTGCGTGTGAACAGACTAAAACCCAAAGTTGTGTACAGTTTGTGTTGACTAAGTCCTGCAAATCTTCTGACATAACTCAGATACAGGTGCATGTGTTGGGAATTCTAGAGGAAAAATTGAACAATATAGGATTTTTGTATGTGCATGTTCACTGAGTGTTAATGGTCCCTTTTAAAAAGCTTTATCTGATGTTAATTTAGTTGCTAGTTTGAAGGTGAAATTAGGGATTATGGCCCCGCATGCAGAACTGACTGTAAAAAAAAAAAAAAATTAAAAAGGCTGGAAGAATGGATTTGAAATATCCATTGTCCTAGGAACTGCATAAAATGCTTAATCTGGTGCTTTTAAAGAGCTACAATTGATATAGTAATTGTAGACTGCAATACTCTTAATAAGTAATGTACATGTTGAGAGATTGTAAAATTTTGCATAACGCTTAACCAGTGTTTGTTTCAGTAGAGTGGTAATACTACTTTCCTTAATTCTGTGAGGTGGTTAAGTGTTCTAACAGTAAGAGAACAAAGAGTTCTACTCTCCTGGCTGTCATAAAAGCTCATGAGCTACATGTGGAGTTGAGAACAAGTTGGCCTGACTTCTCCCACTGCCAATTATCAGCTGTTAGGATGGGTAGAAGTGCAGCTGGAAGGAGGATTAAAAACCTTCATTGGTGTTTATTTTGACCATGTAGCTAATGAAACCCTGAATTTAGATAATTTGACAATGAAAAGTAAACTCTTGCTTCGAGGACTGTTCTGGGTAAATGGAGAATCCTCCCCTGTATTTGAAAGCACCACTCGTGCAACATCGTGTCTGGAACTGCTCTGTGTCATGCAGCAGTGACCTGTGCTCTGCATGTTTCCTCTGCAGCCTTGGTCACCATGCTTGGCTGTTACTGAGGCAGTGAAGGTGCGGAGATATCGTTCAGTTGATACTGGAATTGAAAACCTGTCTTGTGGAATGAGCCACTGGTTCTTCCTTAGCTCAGTTCTGTATTGCTGTCTGTTCCTGCTGTTTTCTAGAAGTTGTATAGTGGCATCACTGCAAAAGTGATGTGACTTTGCTAAGTTCAGTGCCTGTGTTGCTTTTGTGTGGAATACCGGATTTCAAAAGGAATTTACCCTAAAAGTAACATTTCTTATTCCCATTTGCCAGAAATGGGAGAAGTACAGGTGTTTGGCCACAGAGGAAAACCATTCCTGATGTGGTGTAGGAAGGAAATAGAGACATGTTTATCAGTTGCACAAGTAGGAAGTCTGAGCACTCTTCCCATTACTTAACAGAGTTTGTGTTGTCAAGCTGCTGTCAAAGTTGCTTCTGAGATGTAGTTCAAATATAAAGCAACAAGGTAAGGATAGAATTTTGTAGGTCAAGTCCAGTAACTAAGAACTTGATGACATGGGAAAACTTGATGTTATTCCTGATGTTAAATTCTGCATGCTGTGCAAAAACATGTCTTCAGTTTAAACAGTTACAGAACTGAAAATCAGAGGCCATAATAATTCCTAAGTGAGCAGAGCTTATTAACAAGTAATATAATGTGTTGTTTACACTATAAATAAAAGTTTATACTAAAAGCAATTACTTTTGTTTTAGAGGGACTCTGAATATGTCTGGCATAGCTCTTAGCAGACTTGCACAGGAGAGAAAAGCCTGGAGGAAAGATCATCCATTTGTAAGTATAAGAACTGCCAAATTTCTGACTCTGCAGCTGTTTTGGTGTTCTGGTGATGATTTTTCTTTACCTTGATAGGATTTCTTTAAAATTAATTTTTTTAATAAAAAAAAAGCTGCTTAAAAACTATGTAGTGCAAAAAGAAGTAACTCTGTGTAAAGATAAAATATGTCATGAAGTATTTTAAGTACATCTTCTAAAATCCTCACCCTTTGGCTTTTTGCCTTAATTCAGGGATTTGTAGCAGTACCTACAAAAAATCCAGATGGCACAATGAATCTAATGAACTGGGAGTGTGCTATTCCAGGAAAGAAAGGGGTAAGACTTACTATTCTCCTAACTTCTTATTTATGGTGAAAAGTAGCATAAATCTACTCATGCATTACGCCAACAATAGAGAATATAAATTACATTTAGTTTAATAAAAATGCCTAGATCCTGCTGCTACTTTAAAATCCAAGTGCAGTGGGGTGAGAGTATTGGACAAAATACACCATGAGCCTGTTCAACCTGACCACCTTAAGAATAAAAGTTTTCAGAGGAATGTGTAAGAATCTTGCATTGAACAAACTGGAGGTTGTCTTCTGCTTCATGTCAGGGGGGTTTTTTGTGATTTCAATTTTTACTAAATGTTGTTTTAAGCCTTAAAAGTTGAAAGTAATTACTACCAAAATGTTGCCTCTGCTGGGTTAACTCTGCTAGGTTAACTGCCTCTGCTGCTTAATAGTGAGATCCTTCAGAGAAGTGCACCATTTTTATCTTTTTGGATTTCATGGTAAATAATTTGTGTTATCTACATGGAATCTCATTGCCTTCCATTTTATGGAACTTTCTCTTTTGTATTGGGGAAAGAAGATAGAGCTCTCTAATAATGTTTCTTTTTATCTGATTTCACTTGTGCTTCTGTGTCCCTTTCCTTAAAATAACAAGAAAGGAAAAAGTCTGTAGCTATCAGAGTTGTTAATTTTTATCAGCTTGATCTGGTTCTGGAGGATAGGACAAATGCAAGCTTTCTAGTGAAAATAATCATTAATGTGTGAAACTTAATTTTTTTACACTGTCATTATAAAAACTCCTTCTAAGCAGAATCTTTTTTTTATTTTTCAAGATGTTATTTAGCATGTAGATATTATTCTTGAATTCATTGGATGCAGTTGTTTCTTCTGAGATACTACTATTAATTAGTTGGTGGTTTTAATTCTTTGGGTCTTCAGTGTTTTGCATTGGACGTGGGACTTTTTTGCCTTCCCTGTTCTACTGCGTTTTGCAAACTTGTTTAAATTCCCTTATGATCCTGTTTCTTAGCTTCTGAGAAGACACTGTGTAGGCAAAACCTGCAGCTTCTGTATTGCTGCCTCAGTTTAATGCTGAAGGTGGCATTGCTGTTACAGTTACAGCTTAGTTTTAGTAGTTGTCTGCACAACTCAAGTTAGTTCTTAAAGAAGCACCTACAAATAATTTAACAATGTAAGGAAAAACTCATCCCCTTGTGTTCTGCTAAAGCAAGAATATCCCGTATAATTTATGTACCTTATCAAGATGTCACCTTTAAATACTTCTGTAAAATTTTCACGCCATACCAAATCTTCATGGTACTGCTTTGAAGTTTTGTAAACCACAAAATGGAACAAGCAAGACCTTAGAGGCAGCTTCTTGCTTACTAGAAAATGTGTCACGCCAGGCAAAGATCAGTTATGCTGATATGATTTCTACTATTAAAAAAAAAAAGTGTTTTTACTCAAGTAAAAATGCTGTCTCTAACAAGCAGCAGCATGACTTGCTCATCTCTACGAGACCAAGCAGTTGGCTATTGCCTTTATGCTGTGCTGCAGCTGCTTCCCCTGAGATGAGTAGTTGAAACTACTAAAATGCTTACTTGCAGCCAGATCAAAAATAGAAGTGGTGTTAGTCCTGGGTTGGATATCTCCATTCACTTTTTTTTGACAGCAAATCACTTGTGAACTACCTAGAATTTGACTCAAAGAACATCTGCAACTAGTCCTTTAATGCAGCGTGGTCTTGGTGCCACTGCTGTCACGCTGCTGTCTTAGTGAGGCCTTTGAATGTCCGGTCTCTTTCACCCATAAAGTGTGTTGCTCTATCAGAAAGATAGTAAAAACTTTGTCGACTGTTCTTGTCCTCCTACTTGAAGAAATTATTAAAAGCTATTTGTCTTCCCCTGAGACTGAAAGCAAACAGAACAGGTAAAGTTTATTTTGTCAAAAGCTCCTGTTTTCTAAAGAGGGACTCCTCTGACAAGGTATGGAGAATAGATTTTTCTAGTTGTTGACAACTGACTACAGCAGTTTAGAACAAGTTGCTTAAATACACTATAGCAAATGTCATCAAACTCATTCACTTTTTAAAATGTGGTTATCTTATTATTTCCTAGTATGGCTTTTTTGCTGTTCTAGCTTGAGGCTTTGCATAATAAATACCAATCACAATGGAATGGTTTTGGTTTTTTCCCTGTGGATTTTTGGGATGTTCTGTTTTGGTGTTTTGGTTTTTTCTTCTTTCAGCTAAAAACCACACATTTCAGATAGGAAAGAATTAGGAATTTCCTCCTAAGGTAGTCTTCAAACATATCTGTCTGCCCGTGAGGATAAGATTTGATCACTTTTTGCTCGTAAGATGTGAGGCCGTCTTCACTCCAGTTGTTTTAGTGAATGAACTCAACATGCACTTCCATTGCAGTGTTTACATAGCAAGGGCAAGTTACAGAGAAGTGGTCTGAATTTTACATCTGTAATAATATTTTCTGTATTTCTACACTTCTTACCAGAACTCAGTTTGTCAGAAGATGGGTTTTTTTCCTTGTTTACATGTTTTGTATATTTGAGACAGCCTTTTTGTCTATTGCTAGATGTTTTTTCTTGTCTACGTGACCCTTTTGATTAGTACTGTCCTACTTGGTTTACTCTGTGCCATGGGAACTGTTCCTATGAGTGCTCTTCCTGGTTTTGGATAGGGATAAAGAGCTTCTTAGAATTTCTGTTTTACAAAAAGCTGGAATCTGAGACTGACTCCATGCTACCAAATGCAGACAGGGCTAGTTTAGACTAGTGGACCTCATGTGACTGTAGCAATACTACAGTGCTGTCCACATTTTTTGTTCATTTGTGGATTTATTTGCCATATTCTCATAATAGAAGCCATTTACATCCACGTGCTTAAGGGGCGTATCCATATCCCATCTTCTCAGACTTAAGTGGGGGTACAACAGCCCCTTCTTCATTGCATGTGTGAAACTTGGAGAGTATTCTGTTCTTATGTACTATGAAAATTTTACTTTTATATGGAATTACTGGGGATGATCCTGACTCTTGTTGATGACTCAGCAGCACTTAGTAGCTGTAATGAAGAAAGAAACCCCTGCTTTTCCACTTCAGTTTCTTACGTAGTAGAAGTAGGATAACTCTCCTCGGTGTAGACGGGGTGCTGCAGTGTAGGACAGCTCTTTTCTACTGTGTAGCAGAAAAATGTCTTGTGCTTGCCTGAGAAATGGTATTCTTGGTAAGCTGCTTGCCACAAGCTTGACTTTTCCTTGCCGTAACCTAAACTTTACCTTAAATTTTTATAGACACCATGGGAAGGAGGCTTATTTAAACTACGTATGCTTTTCAAGGATGACTATCCTTCTTCACCCCCAAAATGTAAGTAAAATTACTGAAAACCATGGGTTTATTAGAGAAGTGTTGAACTAATACATGAGATTCTACAAATGGTTATTACTTTCTTACAGTTTTGTGGGGGTTTGTTTGGTTTTGTTTGTTTGTTTGTTTTTTAAGGCACACTGCTCTCCCCCTCCAGAGTCACCACTTTGCATTAAAAAAGTTGTGATGAAATCAGTCAAGTGCTCAATATAACAAAATTGGGAGGGGAGGGAGATTGCTGTGTGGGTTCCCTCAGAGTTTGATGCAAGCATTGCTTGAAGTGTTCATTACATGATCAGCACTCCTTGGCAGCTGGTAGGTAGGGATGCTCAGGCCAAATCCCTTTGCGTATTCTTACTGCTAACTTGGTCTTCTCAGCTAAGAACTCAGAAGACAAGAACTTAGTGAAAAAGAAGGTTCCATAACTTGAACCTTATAATCAGCTTGCTCTAAACCATGAATCTGCTCTTTTTCTGCTACTGTGCGTAACAGAGATATTCAGATACCTAATTTCCATATTAAGTTTTGGAATTGAATTTTCCTTACACGGTCTCAAAACTTTCATACTGTAGAAACCTGAAAACATCTATTGCCTTGTGTAGTTTCATGGTTCTTGAATTGGCTGCCATCTCAAAGCAATGACAGTGATTACAAAGGGCTTTTTTGACAGCAGTTGATCTGTCATCACATTTGCATATTTTAGCTCTATCAGTTGTCTTGGCTACTCGTTTTGATTGTTACCACCTAAATACATGTGGCACAGGGGGAAACATCCCTTTTAACTAGACAATATTTAACGTTATTATCTTGAGAAATACCAGTTATCACATCCTGAAACTGTTAAATGAATTGTCATGCCTTAATATAAGATGTATATGTGACTGGTAAGACTCCTTGCCAATGCAGCTTCTGAGGTACCACTGAACTTTACTGAGCAGCAAGATTGTTATGTCATGTCAATACTTGTGATGTTGGATGAGAAAACTGCACTAACATGCAGATATTTCATATATTGCTAAAGAAGTGTTTATTGCTTTACTCAAGATGGTGGCTGTTGCATTTAAGTCCTGTAAAGATTAAAAGAAATGCCAGAATATAGATTGAGTGGCAGAAGGAAAGCCGCACAAGCCTTAAGTCAGTCTTGCAAGTTAAACTTGGTTCCTCTTGTTCAGTGCATCTTGATAATACACAGGAAAAGTGAAACTGAAAGAAATGCTAGAAACTTAAGTCTTTCTTGTATGAAAGTTTCAGTTTTAAAGTAAGGAGAGAAAAGATGAGTGAAGGGCCATATCTTTTCTTTATAATAGTAGTATGTGAGGCTGAAAAGGCAGAACTGGTTTTAAAAAGTCGTTATCACAAAGCTACTACAAATTATTTTGTCAATTTCCATTCTTAAACCAGAAGATTACTGGTCAAAATTATTATCTTAGATTGCCTGGATTGATACCACAGATGTGATGAAGTTCCTGCTTAGGTGCAGGCTGAGCCAAAAAAACCTCTGACATAATTAGCTGCAGAAATCTGTGGGGGTTTTTTTTTGGAGGCATGGGGATCTCTTTTGCCAGTGTTGGTTTGGGGTTTTGTTTTCCCCCACTGATCTAACCCAACTCTCTGATCTTCATCTTAGCACTGCATGCAAATAATTCTCTCTTCTTTATCAGGTAAATTTGAACCACCATTATTCCACCCAAATGTGTATCCTTCAGGCACCGTGTGTCTCTCCATCTTAGAGGAGGATAAGGACTGGCGACCTGCAATCACAATTAAACAGGTCATTGGTTGTACTTACACTTATTCTTTGCCCTTTTATTTGCATTGTCTGCTTATCTGATGTGAATGTAAGATGTTCACTCTGTGTTTCTGTAGTTGATTTCTATGGGTTATTCAGTGAATATCTTTCAGTAATATCTATGCCTATGTTACTTCTACTCCTTTTTCCACAGATCTTGTTAGGAATACAAGAACTTCTAAATGAACCAAATATTCAAGACCCAGCTCAAGCAGAGGCTTACACAATTTACTGGTAAGTATCTTTGTATATTAGCTTGAAAGCTGTCATATTGCATACAGCTCTCTGTTACTTAGGAGCATAACGTGGAAATGTTTTTAGGAATGATCAGGGGAATTTTCTTACCTTCATGACTGTATCCTGTAGAGATGCCTAGACTATGCTAACCTTGAAGAAAATGGTAACCTTATGGTAACCAGGCTAGTGGAGCTTTTAATAGCAACACAACAGCAATAAAGTGTGAAGACTCCTTCAGTTAGATTATGATTCTCATCCTGGTTCTAACCCAACACAGAATCCTTTCCCCTAAAGGCTGAGTAGTAGTAATGAGGCATAATGGTGTCATGAGACTGAATTAGGTGACAAGAAACATTTGTCAGTCCAGGAGTAATTTACTTCTCTCCAGAAGTGAGAGCTGTGAGTGCTGTAGGAAACAGGGTGTTTTGTGAAAATTACATTTCCCAAAAGAAAGGATTAGAAAGTACGGAACACCTGTAGCTTTAGCTGAATGAAGTTTGCATTTGTTGGGAAAGGTGATAATTTGTGAGCTAAAAAGAACTTTTTTTTTTTAAAGGCTTAATAACTTTCCCACCTTTAAAAGTGGACGGTTGTTCTATATCTTTAGGGGAGCAAAACAGTTTAAACGAATGCTTTTGGCACTGACAGCTACTGAAATAATGACCAAGATAGAAACGTGGAATTACCATTCTGGACAGAGGAGGCCTCCATGAGATTGCCAAGTTTGAAAAATAGCATTGTATGAGACTGCACATACAAGCTGTGTCAAAAATGTCTTTTTATAGGATACTAGTGAAAAGGAAACATAGGGATGGGTAGTGTGGCTTGCATTTAATTGAAGGCTTCACTGAATGTTATTTTTTTAAATACTTACTGAAGACTTGATGGAGCCAAGTGCATACAGAGGACAGTTAAGTGGCCAGAGTTGCAGGGAACACCTTTGGGAGCCAGGAATGATGAGGCAGGCCTCATCAAAAAAAAGCCACTCTGAGGGAATATTGGGCAGGAATAATATAGTGTTATACATGTATAACATGTATTTTTTTAATCACCTCCCACACACATGTGTGGGAGTCTTGGCTAGTCTTGTTTCTGCTTTAAGTCCTTCTTGGGGGGGAAAAAAAAATCTATTGAGATTAAACTAGTACATGATTTTTGTTGCTTCAAGTATATACAGTCTTCCATTTATCTTTCTTCATGTCTCTTGGACATGCATAGTATTTTAGATGGGTTCCTATAATTTTGCAGTCTGAGAGTGTGTCTCTCTTACTACTTAGTGAGTAACTTGTACACAGAGGATTGTGCATGCATCTGTAATGTGGCATAGTTGGTCAATTCTGGGGAAGATGCAGCATTGTTTAAATAGATGTCTTTAAGTCGAGTTTCTAATTTTCCAAGAATAAACTTTGTATTTAAGATGAGAATACTTGTTCTTATTCTCAGGATTGCTTTGGTACTGTCGTTCTGTAACTCTCACACTCCTGATGCGCTCACCTGCTTCCCCCTCTGCTGCAGCCATGCAGGGTCTACTAGGGAAGGCATCCTTCTGGGTGGATTCTGTGGGTGTGAGACTTAACAGCTACTCTGTGTTCTTGTATGACAATGCAATATAACTTATAGAAAAAAAAAATAAAGTTTGTAAATATGTATAGAATATCTTCAGTCTGGATCTGACCAAAATTGGTTTCATTTCTTTTTCCCCCTTAACTTGTCAAGTTCTGAGGATATAATTTGCTGCCTTTCTTTGTTTTCACTGCAGCAAACCTTCATAGCTGAAAGTAAGTTAAATTTCCTGCAAAGCTGTCTGCAAAATCTAGTCACTGTAAACTACCTTTGGCACAAGAGTAATGGTAATGAATTTTTGCTTAGCTCTTGACTGACAGCTAATACAAAATGGACAACTGAATGTAAATGGATGCTCTACTAAGCTATTACCATTCCTTGTTGGCCCAAGAATAGAAAACAAAGAACTTGCCCTTTTACATCTTGAGTCTGAGGCTTAATGACTGGGCATAGTTCCCTCAAGTAGTACTTGCTTGTTTAATCAATCCTGTTGCAAGTATGGTACGCTTAGTGAACTATGTTGAGCTAGCTTTTTTTTTTCCAACTGAAGATTAGGATCCTAACCCAAAGCTATGAGTCAAGGTCTGCAGAGATTTCAGGCTGAAATTACCACACCATTATTTTCCCATTTTTTAAAGAGTAGTTCCATTCTCTCTCCACAGCAGTAAAGACGATACTTTAAAATCATTTGAAGTCCACCAGCTGTCAGTGAACTGCTCTCATCAATGACTTTGTGCTGTTAGTATACTGGAATTTGTTGTTAATGACCTCATGTCTTAACATGAGTGAGGAGTGGAAAACTTAAGTTGAGATGAATGAGAATGTTTGCACATGAGATACAGCTGGCCTTGAGAAAGAGCAGGCACAAACCTGTTTGCAGAAGCAGGTATAGTAAGAAGTCAAATAGTGCAGTCATTTGACAACAGGTGATGTTTGAGAAGTGATGAGTTGAACAGTACCATACTTCTATCTGAATTATTAATGGTCTAGAAAAGCCTTTAATCTATTGTAGTGTTCAGTGAATTCCTATCTGATGGTTTTGCCTTCAGCAAAGACTTATTCTTCTATTTCTCTTCAATATGAAACTAATGATTTCTCCAGCTGTAATTACCCTTTCTCTTTTCAGCCAAAACAGAGTGGAATATGAAAAGAGGGTTCGAGCACAAGCCAAGAAGTTTGCACCATCATAAGCATTTGTCATGCAGCATCTTAAAAAGGAAGGGATTGGTTTGGCACGAACTTGTTTACAAAACTTTTGCAAAATCTAATGTTGCTATGTACAATTAATATCCACTTAGGGGAGGGGGTTGTATGTGTGCCATTTTCCATATTCGCCACTTGTATACAGTTCTAAATTTGCTGAATTGCCCCCAGTTTTTTCATACAGGGTCTCTTCCTTCAGTCTTTTGTATTTTTGATTGTTATGTAAAACTTGCTTTTATTTTAATATTGATGTCAGTATTTCAACTGCTGTAAAATTATAAACTTTTATACTTCTATAAATTCACTAGTATCTCTAGTTACTTTGCTATCTGATGCAGGCATGCTTTAAAATGTTAGAACTGTATTTAGCCTCTAGCTGGCTGTATGAAAAAAATCATGCCCTGCACCCCCTTCCCTCCCTGAATTTGTTTTTTTCTATCTTTCAGAAACTAGGTTGTTATTGCTTAAGAGCCTCCGAGATCCAAAGTTAGCCAGCATCCTTATTCTGCGTCACTTCCTTTGTGTTTATATGGCATTCTGTCTGTGTTGCTGTTTAGAGTAAATAAACTGTTTATATAAAGGGCTTTGTTTCATTTATCTTCATTAAAATGATTGAGAGATTGCCATTTAAGTGGCTCTGAACACAATTCAGTGCAAGTCCTACCTTTAAGGCCTGTGATGCTGCACTTACCTTTTGTTTAGATGGTGTCTTCATTTGTTTTCCCTGCCCCAACCCCTAACATGAATGTGGCCCTTCACTGTGTGGTATCTGCAGCAAGTCACCTCTGATCAGTTCCTTTAGGCAGCACACTGAATTCTGACTCACTGGAGACCAGTTGCTTACTGTGCATCATCATGGGATCAGCAAACTGGTGTGACCACGTTAGCATAAGCATTAGACTGATATGAACAATAATAGAAGCCATCCAAGGAGTTTAAGGGGACCTACAGAAACTGGAGATTTTAAATGGTTTTGTTTATCAAATAATTCTGTGCCTTATTCCATATGTCAATGTATATAGCTTTTAGGACAAGGACGTGATCTATGCAATGACAGTTTCCTTTTGTAAAGGAAATCAGTTAAATTATGTAAGTTATTTTCATGTATGTCAAGATGATATGCCCTCTATTAAACTTTCACTGCCTTTTTTAATTGTATTTTTTAGTCAAAATCATTCTGCAAAACAAATTAATTGTTAAAAGCTTTGTTCCATTTGAGCTATAGCTTCTTCAAGGCTTTTGTTATTAAAAAATGGCTATTGCTCAAGACTTAATCTAAGTGTTTTACAGCTCAGTTCTCAGATCTGTTTTGCTTGTCTGCATTTGATTGCTATGGCTTTATAATATAAAAGTATTCCTAAATTAGAATTGCTAACACCCTCATTATTCTCAGTTCTTTAAAAATTTTGTAGGATTGCTTTGTCACTATCTATCTGGAACAGCTCATTTGGAAAAGACTTCATATGGGTGGGACAGTGAGTCGTTCAGAAACTGAATCAAAGGAAGAGTTTCCCTGCTGAATTAATTTATTTGTGCTTCTTTTTTAAAATTTTTTTTTAAAGGCAGATTGAATATTTGTACCACTCAAAGTGCTGCTGTTACTCTCAGCTCTAGCTCCAACAGGGCTGGCATTTAGTCTCTGTAGTGGTAGAGAGTTAAGAGGAGAAAGTCTTGCTGTGACTTGAAGAACTTTGATCTGAGGTGAGTCTACAAATTGCCCTTAGTATCTCCAATTCTAGTGAAGGGTTGCTGAAGTTTAGGTTTAAGTAAGTTTCAGTTGGGTGCTAGAAACTTCGGAGTATTCCATTTAAATGTACAGAAAAAACCTGCTACTGGCTCACTTTCACTGTACAAACTGGCAGCATGTGGAAAAGTGGCCTAAGGTGCAAGTGCTGGTATGAGTCTGACTCAAACCTTTAAGGGCCAGACAGTGTGTATTTGTGACTTGGTGCAGTGCTCTTGGAGTGCTGAGAATGCACAGAGACAGCACTGCTGAACCTGCCATCTGAAATTTATTGGTACAGTTTTGAATATGAAGTCCCAAAACATGGTGTTGCTTAGGACTGTATGAGAGTAAACAGGAGCAGTAAAGTTACTGAAGACACACTGAGATGTTAAAGGAATTCCAGGAAGCATTTTTTTCTTTTATGAGCTTAGGCAGTCAGTTTACCCTAAACTAGAAGAAGTAGTTGAAATACATATGGCAGGTTCAAGCCTGCAAAGTCAGAGGCACCTTATACGGCAGGTCCTCTGAACAAGGCAATAGCTTAAGTCATGTTTTCCTGTTGAAATGTAGCCCAGCAGTTAAAAAGGTTTACCTAATATACCATTAGGTAAAAATAATCCCTATAAACCACTTTCCAGACATGTTGATTAGAATAAAGGGAATTTTTTTTAACTTGTTACTAAGCTTCAGGCTCCTTACAAAATAATTAACATTCCATAGTTACCTAAAAATTAAATAACTCTAGAGCTCTCATTAAAAGACCTATAAACCCACACAGAGACTGAGATTTGCTAAGCACCAAGTTACAGGTGAACAAGACACACTTAACTGTTCACAATGAAATTTCTTTATGCAAGATGTTACAACTCTTTGGGATTACTGGGGATGTTTTTAATGTTCTTCTGGTAGGTGGAGGTTTTTGTTTCTTGAGGAGGGTTGGGTTTGATTTTTTTTTTTTCACTTTTCAAATAGCTGATTTATTGGCAGCTGTTGCAGTAACTTTACAGTACCACGATCTTCTGGACTGCTCTCATCACTGCTTTCACTGCTTTTGGTGGCATCCTCTGGAGTGCTCATGCTGTCCTCCTCAGAGTCTTCCTTGCTTTGTGCTAGACTGGAAACATTTTTCAGGATTATAAAAGCAAAATAACTTATAATAAGAAAAACTAGTATTTAAATTAAATTTCATTACCCTGGGGAACTGACTGGCCTGTTGGGATTAGAATACTCTTTTCCTGAGTCAACATCAAATGGATCTGGAAAAAGGAAGAAAAACTGCACATGATGAAAAAGGCATATTTTAATCATCTGCCCTCATTTTCATAGATTACTGGCAGGGAGGGGAAGGCCTAGGAAGTCTGGTTCAGTCTTTCTGTTAAGTTTACCATAGTTGTTTGATCAGAAACCAGGGGAGGTGGGGAAGAGAGGGGAGGTGGCTTAGACAGCTGGGGAGAACTGTTAGCACAGAAAAGTCAAACAAGGCATGATAGCTGAAGTACATCCAGAAAGTGCATAGGTTCAAGTGTGCTTTATTTGGCATAGTCGTGTTGCCCCTTAAGAACTGGCTTCAGTTTAATGTAACTAGTTAGGTTTCCACCAAGAAACAGGGTGGTTTCATTCCATCCCGTTCCAGTGCGTAATGACAAAGAGATCAAAGTTCAGAGCAATTTAAGGCTGTTGACTGTCTCCTTACAGTGTGAGCCCCTGGCCTGTTTTATGGGGCTTAACCACTGTGACAGGAAAATGTTAATTAGGAGCATCTCTTTTCATATGTTCTTGATTATTTGATTTGTCTTTCTTTGTGCTGTCTTGAATAAGACCAAGCAGTCATCTGTGAATATAGCTTGAAATACTGGGATTCCAATAACTTACTGGAAGAATTTGGGAATAAACTACTTGTACTTATTACAGATGATTTTAATTATCTTGATAAGTCTAATTTGAAACATCTTGATTGGGGACTATATAAATATGTTCACTGAAGGTCTTTCTTAGGTTTATGTGTAATTAATTTGCTGTCAGACTGTATGGTTGTATTTTTATTATAGTTCCTTCTCAATTACTAGTCCTTTTACTCGTATTCAGCTTTTAACATCTGTGGATAAAACAAAAATGCATCATATTTTCTTTTTGCTCCTTAGTTTTCCAGTATCCTTACTTGTATCAGGGTAGCTGCTTCACAGTTCGGCTGGAAAAGCACTACTCTATGCATTAACTTGCTTTAGTCATTTTCATCTATTCTAGTTGAAAAAAAATGGGTAAACTTTCCTATAAGACGAATACGCAGTATAAGGATAGAAGAACACATCTCAACAAAGCACTTATCTTCCACCTTGCCAATATTTTCATGAGATCAAAGGAAAAGACTGTAAGGAAACTAGTTGGGAAAAAGGGGGGGTGTCCCTGGTTTTTTTCCTTACCTACGTCTTCATCTTTTGTTTCTTGGACAGTGGCTAAAAAGTCCTTCTCAATGCTTAGCACGTCATCCTGGCAATGACAGGCTGCATATTTTTCCAAGAGATTTTTGTTCAAGTCAATAAATGCCTTACCCCATTTAAATTTCCTCAGAAGAATGGTGGCTAGGTCTGGGAATCCTAAAATAGAAAATAAATGATCAGTTTTCTTTTTCAGTGTGAGATTTCACTCAGCCTACAGGTTTCTAAGTTCAGTACATACCTACATATCACTAAAATAGTGAGATGTTTGCCAGCATTTTTTTCAGAGTTAGGGGATTAAGACTTTGAAAATATTTGTAATCTTTTTAAAATCCAAGAAGAGTTCATAGCCTTTTAGTGAGTGTTACATAAAAATACTTTGTACAGGTAATGAATGATTCAAGCTCTAGGTCCCACGGTCCTTCAGTACAAGAACATTTGTACATACAGTATTTTCAGAAAATAATATTTGTCTGCAGTATGGTAGAGTATTTCTCTTCAGTTGTCAAGGTTCTGTGGTGAGTTTGCAAAACATCACAAGAAGGGACAATTTCTTTTGTTCTTACCCAGAACCCACCCTGTTAACAGAGAGCTGCTACCTCTCATTAAGGCAAAGGTGCCTAAGGATTCATAATCTGTCTTCTCTTTTTTAACAGTTTTTCTAACATTACGCACCATCCAGACAGAAACAGGATTTAGTTTATGTGTCCTGTTTAGTAGCCGACATGAATACTCCACAGGTACCCCAATGCAACCAGATGCAAGTACTTGGAAGAAAGCTAGACAATCTGATCCCAAACTCAGTAAACTGATAACCAGTGGGACAGCATTACAGTTTATTTTATTGCAGATCATCTCTTCTGATTTATTAAGGATGTAAGAATTGCTGGCAACATACTTCACATCAGACAAACTGAGCCTACCAACAATGCAAAACGCTGCAGCAAAAGCTTCCACGCAGGACAGCTTGCACGGCCGACCATAGTTTACAGGATTTGCAGCCACCAAGTAAGGCAGCAACCGAGGATGATTCCCCCTCATTCTCTTAAAGGGAGTTTCTTCTAATTTGGCCCATGAGCAATCTATGACTGCAATTCCACTCTGAGCAATGACATGCCTGAAAAAAAGAAACATTACTGTATTTGAAAAATGGTCACCATTATATTGATCATAGAATCATAGAATCAGCTGGGTTGGAAAGGACCTCTGAGATCATCAAGTCCAACCCTTGATCCACTACTGCCATGGTTACTAGACCATGGCACTAAGTGCCACATCCAGTCTCATCTTAAAAACCTCCAGGGACGGAGAATCCACCACTTCCCTGGGCAGCCCATTCCAATGCCCGATTACCCTCTCTGTAAAGAATTTCTTCCTAATATCCAACGTAAGCCTCCCCTGGCAGAGCTTAAGGCCATGCCC